ATCCCACACCTGGTTATTTCCCCTCACATTATCTATCCCCTTAGCACACACTTGAGTCTACTTTGACACGTTGTGAATTAAAAGTATTTAACCACTGTGACTCATCATTTTTACTTGACGAATATGGGGTATTATTGGAAAGGCATTCTGAGAAGAAAACCAGCGATGCTATACCAAAGTTGGTTGTGGGTCCTAAGCTGTCTATCCCTACCTGAGTTGATTGTGGTTAGATGCTTGGATATGAGAAGCTTATTAAAAGAATATTGGGAAACCACAAGTGGTTAAAATGGGGAAATCAGATAGAAAGTTTCACAAAAATGACTATCTTTCCTCTAATCATTTGAACTCTGAATGTAAGAGTAGATTGTCTCTTACCCAAGCTTTTGATGGCGATACAGCAAGCAATTTAACTATTTAATTATCAGATACAATTGTGCACTGAGCTGCAACTGCTTGAGCTTCTAAAACTTTTTAAAAAGATACTCCTCTCACAGCGAAATAAATAGTACATTAAGCCAAATAAAAAGCAAACCATGCTGGCCTCTGAATAATAACATTTACTGCATAGCTGCAATATCTATCCAAACAGATAATTTATTCTTCAAAGTTTTGGAAAAGAGATTGCTTTCTTGCTACTCCATACTTCAGTAAAATTTTTGCATGTGTAAAAGACAGCTGGTTAAAAGGGCACAAACATAAATCACCATTAATGGCAGAAAAAGAGAATAGGTTTTCACTTCTTTCCTTCCGGCGTCTTTCTTTTGTAGGTTTGTCATATGCTGATATATACAGTATATACTTACTGACTTCAGTCTCTAGCCAGCCAAAAATAAACACAGCAGACCGTTTCCCATTATCAACAGATCTTAACTATCGAAACGATCCTCGTTTCCTTTTTCTACCTTTCCTGTTTTCAGCAACCTGTTTTCACGAAAAAATTTCCCCCGCAAAACCCAGCAAAACCCAACAAATATCAACAACAAAGTAAAACTTTAAGTACTCAAGTTATATCCCAAAGCACAAGAATTCTTGCTTCTTTAAGCACCAATTCACCCCTTATTCACCCTTTTGTCTTACCTGCATGAACAGGTACAGCTTTCTTTCTATTCTCCTCCCACCTTTTCTAGTTTTCTTACCGCCTGATGGGAAATGTAGTTCCATAAATTCAGCGTCTTTCGGTCTCCTGCTGGTGAAATGAACCTGACCCATTCAAACCTTGTTTTTTTTTTTTTAAAGAAACACCGCATAAAGAAATGTTACCAGATTAGAACCGGGGAAAAAATCACTTCCTCATTTAAACTTTACTATGTCTGCAAAAAAAATGTTGCCTTATTGCATGCTTATTATGTGTATATCCTCAGGTGACACAAGGCAGAAAGTGCAAGCTGGCATGTCCTTACATATGAGTAAATCCTGCTGAATTGCATGGGGTTTCTTGTAAATAAATATACAAAGAATTGCATTACATAATAATATAGGAGAGCACACACTTTTGAAAGAGACTAAGCATAGAGGAGACAAAAGAGCTGCTGCATTAATTAAATTATGGTAATTTTGTTAAGAAGCTTAACATTCTATGTGATAATTTTGAATATATATTTGAAATTCTAAACGGAAAAGGAGAAGCAAACTTCAAGTCAGATATCCTAAAAGTAAAATCTCAATGCCAAACCTTTATTAGATGCCAACCTGGATTAAATAATCCAGTTCAACTCTTTCTAAATACATTTATTAATTATAATAAAAATGTCAGCAGGTGTATGGTATCTTTTCCAGCTAATAAATTTTATGAAAAGGCATAAGCATGAACAACTGATGAAGTGAGCTGCAAATCATGAAGCCTTATGTTTTTAATAAAATGTGTGAGTTGTAAGATGATCCCAGACTTTGGGTAGTTTTTGTTTTTTGTTTGTTTTGTTTTTACTACCATAGAGTAACAGGACTATGCTCTTACAAGCAGATCTGCTTGTAGGATCCCATAATATGTGATATCAATTATATGTGGATAGATATTGCTTTCAAGATAAGACTAGTGTATAGTATTGGCATTCACATAGTTGCAAATTCACATAGTTGCAAATAGTACATAAAGTTACCAATGTAAAACTTGAAGTATTGAATTTCTGCAAACCATTCTTTTTATTTTTTCCTTTAATGCAAGAATAAAGTTCTCCAGGCTTCTTAAAAAGAGCCAACTATCAACAATTTTGTTCTAGTGCAGGGGTGTCAAACTCGCATCGTCATGGCATCATCACGTGACGTATCACGACTTTTCCCCTTTGCTAAACTGAGCATGGGCATAGCCACATCAAGCCTGCGGGCCACGAGTTTGATAGCCCTATTCTAGTGGCTCTAAGAAAATAATTGTTCAAACTTTGCAACAAAATCTGTTTATCTATTTCCATTTCTTCCACACACTTGAGGGTTTTTCTGTTATCAATATTTTATGCATTAAGGATATGGGCTTACAGCTATCCCATTTGTAATGTCTTGGTGCTTTAATCCCCTAAGTAACGTGACATGTAGAAGTTAAACAGGCATTCTTTTGCTATCTATTTCCTTCCTGTCCTGTAGCTGTTGAAAATACATGGGGAAAGTGCACTTTTAAAAGTTGGCATGGTAAAACCAGGATTTAGCTTTTAAATACATGAATGTCATACCCATAAGAGATGTAATTTGGCAATTAGAATTGTCTGGTGGCACGAGAAGCTATTCCCATTACTGCATCTCTGGCAGGAAAAGCTATACCTGTGAAACTTCTGCCATTTTACCCCTTTTAGAAACATAGAACCTCCCACAACTCTCTGGAACTGAAAAAGTAATGAAGATATCCCCTCTAGTGTGAGGCTTTTACTTATACAGATTAAAATTCTCTCATACAAGTAGATTTCAGTTAGTAGCAGGTAGGAATTGATAGCTATTTCCCAGTAATTATCTATTCAGTCATTATTCTCCTTTTCTTATTGGTAAAGAGGAATCTATAGCTTGCCTTTTCTCATTACACTACAGTATAGCTTCTACAAGAGCCAGTTTGGTGTTATAGTTACTAGTCTAGGCACTAGTCTAGAAAGGGGAGACCATGAGTTCTAGTCCTGCCTTAGGCACAAAGTCATTCTAGGCGACCTTGGCCTAGTTATTCTTTCAGCCCTAGGAAGGCGGCGGCAATGGCAAACTGCTTCCGAAAACCTTGCCAAGAAAACTGCAGGAACTTGGCAAGGGAATGCACACAAAGAGATCCTCCTATAGGGCAGGGGTGTCAAACTTGATTTCATTGAGGGCCACATCAGGGTTGTGTTTGACCTTGGGAGGCTGGGGTAGGCGTGGCCAGCTCGACGTCACTTATGTCAGGGGCGCCTGTGGTGGCCCTAATGCTCTGTCAGTGAAAACGGGCTCCCGAGCTCCGTTTTCAGCTGCGATGGCCTCCTGCAACCCCCTGCCAATGAAAATGGAACCCGAGCCCCTCCCGAGCTGTTTTCACTGGCAGAGGGACCGTGGGCCAATCCTTCACTGTTTCCGGGGTGGCCCCATGGGCCAGATCTAAGTATCTTCGTGGGCCGGATCTGGCCTGCGGATTTTGAGTTTGACATCCCTGGTATAGGGCATGTATCAGGTTAGAAAGAATACACCTTAAGTATTTTCAGAGTTCACACACACACAAATCCAAGAACCTCTAGATACAAAAAAGAATTGTGCTCTGAACTGGAAAACTGTTGCTGGTCAGTGAGAACAATATAAGGCAAAAATAGTTGACCCACATGATAAGTTCTGATAAGAGGTATCTTACAGAACTGCCTTCAGCAGACATGGAGATGTAGTGATGTCTGAAGTTACTTTTTGAAGGTTTTTTTTGACACGCCTCAGTACAAATGTGTCAGAGGTTAGTTTGGAAGGACAGGCTAATAATCTGGTGTAGTCAGTGAAACCGAAGCCCAATTTATTTCTGTTTACTCTCGGCACATGTATGATTTAAATATGAATTACTTCCCACTAAACTGAAACCTAGAGCCAGTTTGGTGAAGTGGTTAAGGTACCAGCCTAGAAATCAGGAAATGGTGAGTTCTCACGCCTTGAAGTAATCTTTGGCCCAGATCTGTCTTAATGCATGGGCTGATGGGCACTTGCCCTTGGGGCCCATGAGCATAGGGGCCCCATACTAATCTGTTTGTTAATCCTTCAATGCACCTTTTATCATACAAATACAGCAACATATTACATTTTACTGCATTTTATTAATACTAACATGCATTAATAGAAATTAACACTGATTCGATTTTGTTACACGTGCCAATACAATAAGTATATGTTTAATTTTATCGACCATTTGCATTTTTATTCCCGTGAGTAGTCCTCGTAGGGGCCCCAGTACACTGCTTTGCCCGGGACCCATAATGCTGTTAAGACGGCCCTGCTTGGGCCAATGAATCCCTCTCTCTCTCAGCCTTAGAAAAGAGGACGTGGCAAACCACTCATGAAATCTTATCGAGAAAATTACGGGGACTCGAAGGAAGCCCAGCACACACTGGAACTAGCACTCAGTCATCGCCGGAGTTTAGCTTTGCAGTGCAACTCAGTGGATTGCAAGTCTGAAAACAGCCCGGTCGTATTCACGTTTACTCAGAAGCAAAGAACCTATTGCTCGGTAGCGCTCCTCTAGAAATAAGCCGGCACAGCCTGCGTCGTATGGCCTCCCACAACCAGTCGGTCGCGCTACCGAAAGCCACGAGCTTCCTTGTTAGCAGCCCGTCTACCCTTTTTCCTTCGGGCTCCGGGGCAGGACTAGTTCGGAGGTGCATTGAGAATTCCAGGGGACTGCAATTCCCAGAGTGCACCTCGAGGAAAGGGAGACGAAACGGGGGGAGAGGGGGGGAAGGCGGGAGGGAGAAGTGGAGCGCGAGCTCGGAAGAGGCGGAGGTCATGTGACTTCCAGGAAGTTGCCTTGGAAATGCGGACAGGTGAGCGGTGTTTGCGTGGAGGTTCTGTGGGGGGCGGGGGGGTGTAATTAAGGCGGTGGAATGAGGAGCGCGGGGTGGTTTTGTCGGCGCGGGATGAGGAGCGGCTATCCCGAGACAGATGGGGCGATTAGAGTGCGAGTGGGCGGCTGTCTCGCATCCTTGCTCGATACCGTGTTAACTGGGTTGGTTTGCAGCATGGGCATGCCAAGTCGGCTCCCAGGCTTCCCTCCCGCTTTATTTTCAAGGATGGCCCGTTTCCTCCGAGATTCGCCCGCTGATTCCGCGGCTTGCGCTTTCTGCTCTTGTCTGTCACCGCGGTGCCTTGGACGGCAACTTTCTGCCACGTAGCAGTTGAACTAGGGACATCTTCCCCGTCGTTGCAAAACCTTGATCAAGGGCTCACTGCATACCTTTCTTTCTTTTTCTTAAATGAGTGTGGGTGTGCATGCATGGTTTAAAACCTTGGGTTTTTTCTTCTTTTTCTGTATGTATGTATGTACGTACATACATACACACATATGCACACGCGCACACACACACACATGAGTGGCTTAAAACCTTGGGGATATAAGAAAAACCTTGGCACAAATATAAGAAGATTTCTCTCCAAACTGACTTAACACAGTACAAGAATGCCTTTTCCAAATGATCTGCATTTAAAACTGTAGCCAGGAATTTATTATTTAGTTTATATTTCCTGTGGATGTAATCTTAATTTCATCATTTGCTGATGAACTAGAATGGACTTGTTTTTTCCTATGATTTTAGAGATCATTTGTTTATGTTTTATTGACATCTGGGTTAACAGTGCTTGAGGCAAAGTCAAAACTGCCTCCCACAGCAAGTCATAATTGCAAATCCATATCAAGCCTAGATTTCGAAGGTATGTTTGGAAGAATCTCAAGGTTAGGTTTATTCTAATCCTAGAGGTAATGTGAAAATATGATATTCAAACAGTGGCATGATTGTTAATGGGGTTCATAAAATAAATCCATTTACAAATCACACACTTCTCAAACTGGAAAATACCTTTCTGTCCTTTCTTGAAATTCCTTTGGGAATGTGACTGAGAATTTCTGGAATTAAAAGTGTTTGTACCTGCAATATATTCAATCTGTTTAAGAGATTCTGATTATTTGTTCTCTGTTTTTTTCTCCTTGGACTATGGAATTATACACTGCATTAAATGTGTTGATCAATTTGATCAGGGATGTTGTACATAGTACCTTTACAGATAATTATTGAGGGCTTTAAATGCTGCAAAAATATAGCCCTCTCAATAACTGGGCACAAAAATATCTCTATAATCAATGTTTTTTGTTCCTTAATTGCATGGTAATTAATCAGAAAATGTCAGAAGTGACTGTATAATTGATGCTATCTGATGAAAATTCTCATTGTCTATGATTAAATTAGTTCTAATGGTAGAGAGGGCTGTACAAAATACAGAACTTTGTGATAGACGCTGCCATCCAAAATGTTAAGTTCAATTGAACATTAATTGTTTTCTTCCTCACTAATAAGACATGCCTTTATATATTTCTTGGCAAAGATTTGAAAATGATTTGCTATTCCTGTGTTTTTTTAAGAAACTTTCAGCCTTGGGATTTTGTGATAGTCTTCAACCTGAGTATTAATCAGGCCAAGTACCAATCATTAACTTACCATTTTGAGGTTCTCTAAGGTTGCCTCCACTCCCACCCCCCAATCTCATAAGGTTGTTGTCAAGGAAATATGTGGATCAGGGAGCATTAGATCCTGGAGGAAAGATTAAGATCTAATAATAATTTCATGTATGCAAAGCCCCCAACATACGTAATGTCAGCTATCTTTACAAGCATAAGGTACAATGTGGATTTCTATTTTTTTTTAAAGATGGGATAGGACATGCTGAAGGAATACTGATTTGTTACATACCAGATACATTCCTTGAATTGCATACTTCCTTGATTACATCTCATTATCTTCTCTGTAGAATTCTAAAAGAAAGAAGGCAAAGCTAACACAGTCCTTATTTAGCAATCACCTTGTTTGGTGACTTTTTGCAGTTAAAACAGTGATGAAAATGTTAAAAATAATATAAAAGTAACTTTATGACCAATCTCCGCATACATGAACTTTGCAGGTCTGTAAAGCAAAGGAAAGCTGAAATAAGTGCATAGACAGTTTCACTTAGTGCGACTGCTGCACTTAACAATTGAATTGAGGGTCCTAATTGTTGATAAAGGAAAATTGCATGTATGTCGATGAGAATTTAAAATTTCCTTTTCAGGGAGTAGAGATTGGATCATTTTCTAATGCCAAATGTACAGTTATAGGAAGAATTGCCACCAGGGATTGCCACTTCTCGGTTCATTATGCACATGTGAATGTGTACCCTTGGAAGGAGAGTCGCTACTGAGGATTTCCATCATGTGACAACAGTTTTGCTATCCTGATTGAGAAATGCAGAGATTTTGTATTCATAAACAACTGGAGTTTACAAATTAAAGTATGCATATAAGAGGACCCTCTATCTGTAGACTGCTACTTACCTTTTATCTTATCTTTCGACTTAGCAGATAATTTTCTTTGCCCCTTCCCTCTCCTGGTTCCTAAGAAAATTAGCCAGATAAAGGATAGATAAGATAAGTACTGATAAACCATAGGAAGAATAGTAGTCAGCATATTGCCATACCGTAGGTGTTTATCTACTCTTACCCCCAGAGTATCTCTAGCAAGTCCTAGCAGACCCTTCAGAGTTCGACAATAGTGAATTCCTGACTTAGAAATAATCGGGTTTCATGCAGTTACTGAAACCTGTAACAAGAGACACATATACTGTAACCTGGAAAACATAGCAGTATGCTCTAATTAATGTGCTATGCTTGAAGAATTGAACAATAGCTAGCAGCTAAGTGCTTCTTTTATTCTCTGTAGATGACCTACTGAGTGAATATTGTAAAATTGAGAGGGAGGCCCCATAACCTCCCTATGATGCAAAATTAGCATGACGTACACAAGGGAAGAGGCCATAGCTTCCTTCTGGAACATAGACTTCACATGAGAAAGTTCCAAGTTCAATCACTGCATGTTCAGGAAAGGCTTTTGGAGGTATGGCAGTCAGGATAAGACTAGGCAAGAAGACCTGAGCAACCTATAATCTATAAGTAGGGTGTATGTGATCTCTAGAGACAGCAGAGCTGAGAATATGGGACTCTTTTCAATTTAGAGAGATTAAAGTCTCCTGCATGTTGCCCCTTAGAGGTGTTTAATTTCCCCCTACACACACACACACAAAAAAAAAAAACACCTAAAAGGGAACAAGCTACCTTTGTTCAAGAACTTTTAAGCCACTGTAAGAATTTTGCATTTTAAATCCCACCAAAAAGATAAGAGGTAAGCAGGTATAATGTTTTATAGGGGATCATGTATGTTTGATCATCAGCATTTGCAAAATCATGTCAATATTTTTATGAGTTTCAGTCTAATATTAGCAGTAGTAAAACAAACCAAAACCATATAAGTTAATATACCAATTTCCCAAATGCGTCTCCAGTAATACAGACATCTAACCATTCATTTTTAAAATTCCTTCTGATATGTCAGGAAATGTGAAACATTAATTTCCCTGATATTTCAAATAGATTATATGTGCACATGGATGTGATTGAATATATTTGCTTAAAATTAGGACTTAAAATTTTTGTGCTTTGCTGTTTCAAAATTCCTTGATCTTATTTTGCTTTTATTTTATTTTTAAAAGGTGAAGAGAAATGACATAATTTACATTCCAGCCTTTGGGGGCAAAGAAAACTGGGGGAAGAAGTTGGAGAAACCTGAAAGGGAGCTATGCCTATTACTCAGAGGAGGCAGTCTACCAACAAAAGCCTTGTGTCACAGTTCACACATCATCATGTTGCCGTGTTCCTCCTCACTTTCTTCAGGTAGGTGATTGTAGCTGAAACTGCATGGACTCATCTGAATTCTTGAGCGACCTGGGATGAAAATAGAGCACTAAAAGTTTCCTTTTATGTGGTAGAATCAATATGTTGATGCAGAACAAATGTTACATACAAGCTTCTCATCAACTATAGTTGTATCTCACCCATTTTTTAATTCCTGAAAGATAAGTCTACCAATTATAGCTATCTAGTTGATGAGGAAAACAGAATGCTGTATTTAGATAGGTATTTGGTCTGATCCCTAAGGCCCTTTGTGAATGTCCATCATGCCATGGTATCCATTAGACCCAACAGCATAGCTAATGTAAATGACATTACAGTGTTTCTGGCATGGGTTACATTAATAAGGTAGGCCAGAGGTCTCCCACCTTGACAATTTTAAGACTTGTGGACTTCAACTTCCAGAATTCTTCAGCCAGCATAGCTAGCTAGAAAATTCTGGGAATTGAAGTCTTAAAGTTGCCAAGTTTGGGGACCCCTGAGCTAGGCAATGTCATTCAGTAGAGACCATAAAGACGAAAATTCACAATGTGCTATGATTAGAATACTGTATTAAATTAGAATACTTTATTGAACAAGGGTGATTGGACACACAAGGACTTTGTCTCCGGTACATAAGATCTCAGTGTACTTACAAACAACAAAGTAATATAATCATAAGATATCAATAGGAGAAGATAGTAGGATAAAATGAGAGGGATAATAGCCCTTACTACATGGGTAAAAATATCTTTAGACATAAATGGAAATTATGTATTATTTTAAGTGTTAAATTTGGGGGAAAGATAGAAAAATGTCATACTTCAACCAGTGATTACAAGAAAAAGTTATTAAAGAGAAAAGATAAATAGATAATTGAAAAAGAATAGACAAAAGATACAAGTATAATGATTTAAATTGAGATTAAATAAATAAAATAGAATTAAGAGAGTGAAAAGAGGGGAAGACATATAGAAAATATAGAATGTTAAATAAGATATGAAATAGTATATAAGGTGAGCATGAATTTGATTTATGTCTGTACAAAAAGTTGTAACCCGGGGTTAAGCCGCTTTCTAAAAAGAAGTTTTACGTCTTTATGTTATGTGTTTTGTTTGTTTATGTTTGTTTATTGAGAATTAATAATGTTGGATAAGAACATATGAAACAGTAATAATATGAAATATAGTAATATGAAATAGACGAAAGTATAAGTTTAATGAATAAAATTGAACAGAAGTAAAGGAAGAAACAGTGAGAAGTTGGAAAAAGAGTAATAAGATATGAAGTTGAATACATAAGATGCATTTAAATTGTGTTTGTATGGAAATGTGATAATTTGGAATTATGTTGTACTTAAATAAGATGTTTTATTTGTTTTGTTAAGCAGTTCTTAGAAAAGATATTCTATGTTCTTACGTTTTATGTTTTGTTTGTCTGTGTGTTGTTTTTGAAAATTAATAAAATTTGTTAAAAAAATATATCTTTAGACATAAGACAGTACTCTACTAAATTCTTCTTTTTAAAATTCCTAGCTACTCTCTTCTCCATGCTTCCCGAAAGACCTTTAGCAATGTCAAGGTCAGCATCTCCAGCCAATGGACCCCCTCTTGCTTTAATGACTCTGCCTTCATTCTTCAACCATACGAGGTAAGGGTGTTTACATTTACTGATTTTTTTAAAGCCCTGCTCAAGTTAACATCTCCCCAGAGGGTTGGCCTACAGAACAAGCAAGCCAGAAGAGCTTGCTGAGGAAAATCAAGGAAGGAAGACTTCTTGAAATTGTTTCTTCTTCATCAGAGTAACACAGAGGTCAAAGGAACTGGCCTTAGGACGTGGAAGGGTATTTGGAGATGGCAAGAATTATCTTTGCTATCTGTGCAGGCTATCTTGGACATGAAAAGACAGAGGCTAAACCTCTCTTTAGGAAAGAAGAGAAATCTTAAATTAGGCATCAAGAAGTGACATGATAGAAGCATGTAATATGATATGAAACCCTAATGTTTGGAAGAACTCTTATACTCTTTTATACTCTGGAGCTTCAGAATAGATTCCAAAGTTTTGCTGTTGAGATGTTTGGAGATCCCTAAAGAGCAGCTGCCACAAGTCTCAAGGACTGAGGAGGATTCTATAGGCTTTGCAAACGGAAGGATTCCTGCCTCTGCATTGAAGAAATACAACGAGGAGCGATGAGAATTAATGATTGTTCACTGAGGACTCAATTAACAACTGTCTCACTTAGCAACAGAAATTCTGGGCTCAGTTGTGGTCGTAGGTTGAGGACTACCTCTACTGCATAATTTGAATAAAGCCTAGTATGTAGCTTATTTAGAGTCACCATTGCTGTTTGTGTATTTATTAAATTTCTATACTGTCCATCCCACCTAAGTGACTCTGGTTTACAACAACATTAAAAAAACATAAATGCATGAAGAAAAGTATAGCTTAAAATCAAGTTGTGAAAATAAATCAGATTAAAATTCAAAGGCTAGGAGTTTATTCTCATATTCTTCCTGGTTTTCACAACACATCCC